GAAGATGTTTTGCATCTTTAAAATTTCTCATATCTGAAGGCATGGGGAAGGATGTCTTTGTTCTTTCTAGTCACAGAAAAGGGACTGTGGAAAGTATTTTAGGACTGGGATCCTTAACCATATCTAGTCTGTATCCACGATGAGGAATGCTTAGGTTAGCACCCGGCAAATCATGCTAACTGTAGTTTTTATATCTATAACAGAGAATATCAGTATAATGGACTTGGTGTGTAGGTGGAACTCATTAGGAGCAATCCTTGAATTACAATTTATTTACAATAAAATTCTCAATGCAGACAAGGGTTACAGGTATGTCTATAAAGTGCTATCTAAGGCTGCAAAGAAACACACACATTAGCTCAACCATTAAAAGTAATATAACTGCATTAATATAGTTCTCTGATGCCTGATATTCAGACTGTATTTATACCAGAACCAGCAGCCTTAGAGCTAGGCTGGTCATTTCATTTAGACACTGTATTGTGCAATGAGGACAATCCCTACAAAGAATAAAAAGACAATTCTTCCAGATGTTTTAGGGGGACAATAAATGCTAAGTAGTCTTTATTGATGATAAAAAAATGTGTAAACTGAGAGGATAGATGAACTTGAGAGCATCTTGTTATTCTAATCATCCTCTCTTAGTGACAGCTGACCTGCTTCTCTACTTCCTTGCATCTTGAAAAGCCACTAATACTTCTGCAAAGAAAGCATAATGTTCTGAAAGGTAGTATTTTACATCCACTGTGCTCAGCTGAAAATTACTTTATGAGATCTAAAGTAGTGAAGGATTGGACCCAGATGAAGCTACTAATAGTTAAGGCTCATATTTCTACATGACCTGTGATGAAAGAGAAGGAGGTGCAGCATCTCCAGAGACTTGGGGAAATGTTCAGGGAGTGATATAATTAATAACTAATCGTTCCATTTGACAACTCTTAATCTCATTTTCTCAGGCTTGTGTCCTACAGATTATTTATAAGTTAGATTGGTGGACATAGTAACTATTCCCTTGAGTTTGCAAAGTGAAGTGAGCCTAAAATGACTTCTACTTTTCACAGCAGGGTCAATTGAGCACATCATCCTCCTCAGCAGGATAAAATGAATACCATGCAGTCTACTCTGGGGCAAATAATTTCCCTTTCATACAATCTTGGTAAATGAACTGTGGAAGACAGTAAGTTTAAGGAGGAAAGTACTGTCCCTTAGTCTACAGCAAAGCATTAACACAGTTTCAGCTTGTGCTGAAACTCCTCTGAAGGTGACATGGCCCGTCTGTCCACATAACTGCAACACACAATCACACATCTCCGTTGTATGCGTATGGTGTGAGTCTTCTGCACCCTCTGCCTCACCTTGTAACAGAACATCAGGTCTGTGGAGCAAAGGACTTTTCACGTCTTTTCACAACAGAAAAGGAACTGAGACCTCTGTGCAAGCTGTTGAGATGTAAATTGTCCTTCTGTTCTGAGAAACAACAGCTGCATCATAGAGAAGTAAAACAGTGTCGTGGTTTTGCCCTGGCTCAATTTATTTTTATACTCCCACATACAATTACTATTAGCTGAGAGAAGGTTTATGCAGACAAAAAGAGACTGAATTAAAAAAAAGTATGAGTATTTATTATTAACAAACTAAAACTAAGGAATTATATTTACAACAATTCTACTTAAGTAAAAGGTATTATGTATTTACAGAAGATACTTTTCCCCCCACTTCCCTTTATATCAGTCCAAGGAGGAGAAGCAGTCCTTTTCTGTTCTCAGAATTCCAGCTCTCTCTCTTTCCAGTAACTCTGCAGCACTTTCGTCGCAGTTGGAACCTTTTCTCCTTCTTCTCTATGTCAGCCTCCAGGGCTGGGCCTACCCCCCTCCTTGGCTAAAACCGAAGGCTGAGGGTTACTCAGGTCCTGAAGGGTCTCCTTCCATAGGCTTGCAAGGGGACACTTGCCTACTATGGATCTTCTTCCACAGGGTTACAGGGGATAATGGTTTAAGAGTTCACCCCTGTTTCCCTATGGAGGTCCCTCCCCATGGGAGAACAGTCCTTGATTGACTTCTCGGCATGGGTCCAGTCTGGATCCCTTACTCGGATCCCAATATCCCACCTGAGCCATTTTCTGCTCCAGCGTAGGTTCTCTCTAGCACCAGCAGCACGGATCCCACACATGGATCCCAACATCCCTACCTGAACCGTTTTGTGTTCCAGCGTAGGTTCTAATACCCGTCAGGGTCATAAATCTTCAACAGCAGCAGCATGGATCTCTCACTGAGATCCCAAGCTTATCTGAGTCGTCTCGCTCCAGCATAAGCATCATCCCCTTCGAGGGTCACAAAGTCTTTAACAGGACTCTGCCTCATCTGAGCCGCTTTTACTCCAGCATAAGGCTTTCTCTCTGTTAAAGTCACAAATCTCTGGTGCATCCACAAGCTCCTCTGTGAGTCGCATGGGGGGTCTCTTCACCCCAACAAATTTTCACGAGTGGCAGGGTTTTATTTTTCAGTCTTTACCCTGCTGAAGGGAGGGAGAGTGAAAAGGAGAAAAACAGCAGCTCTCCCCCCTTCGAACTTTTCTTCTCTCTCCTGCGACTGCAGCTTTGACCTTGGAAATCTTGTTATCTCATGGCTGGAATTCTTCTGTAGCGGTTTCTCATCTAAGCAGTTCGTCTTTTAAACCTTTTTTTCTTCACTCTCTTACAAGAGAGAAGAGAGACTTCAGTACTACACCTGCCCGCCCCCCCCGGCCCAAGCCGGGGAGGAGGGGGCCTTGGCCCTCCTCGGGCCCACCGCGTCTCTCCTACATGGCTGCTGCTCCTAATTTCAACTGCGCCACCACCTTCTCTTCCGTTTTCTTAAAGATGTAATTAGCAAAGGCGTCACTGAACTTTTTGATTGGTTTTTTGTCCGGAAATCACCTGGACAAAACCATCCTCAGCCCCAGGGATGGGCTGGGGGGCAAAACCACGACAAACAGGAACTTCGGGAAGTTCATTGCTTTGCCAAAAAGGTGCTTGTCTTTACTTCCAGATACATATGCAGTGCAGAGTCAGAAAGTAAAGCTGCAGACTGAAGTCCAAAGTGAACTTTTAACAGGATTGCAGAGCAATTATTTCAGAAAGAAGTTGCAGTTAAGAAAACATATATGCCAACAAGAATATATTTCAAGTCACTCATATAGCTGGGACTTGTAGGAGCAAGCCATCATAAAAGGTCATTTTTGCCACCAAATTAACAGTGGATACTGTTTTTTTTCTTTTTCAGTATGGTAGTATATCTCAAACCTCACTTTACAGTGCAATTTCTTGGTTCAGAAAAGTCTTCCAAAGGTCTTTTGTGGACATTGTATTGTTCCCAGGCTTCAAAGCCTGATCTGTACTGATTCATGGGACTGTTTAATTTGTGATCCACAACACTCTTTTGCGAGGAGTCCCACAGCTCAACCACACATTATGCAGAGTCAAGTCCTTTTATTTATTTCATACCTTGGTATTAGCAGGTTAATTTGACGCCCACCTAACAGTTTTTTACATTGCAAAACATTGTATGATGGTTAACATAAGGATGTTCTTAATACGTTACTTCCAGCTTTGTTTATTCCAAATTCAGATGCGTTTTGTTTTCTTTATAACTTTTTGTATTTATTAACAAAATACATGATATTTGACTGTATATATATATACATATACACACATGTAATAAAATTTAATATTTATTATGAAACTGTATACAACACTGTATACTAGGATTGTACAATGCTATCTTACATATGCAGTCAAAAATGTCATTTGAATAGTCATGACCTTTTTATCTATATAGTTTGGTGGATTGTGTGAGATTTTCCTTTTATTTATTAGGTTCATAGGTTCATAGAAAGATAGCTCGACAAGCTAAAGTTAGAAGGATTGTGGATTATCAGTTTCATTCACCAAATATCTGAAAGCATATGGTTTTAAAGGATTAAATGAAAAAACTGAAACAATTCTTATCTGCAGTTTAAAGCAATCTACTTCGAAGAAATGAATGATCTGCAGGTGACTACTAAGGCTGTGATTTATTGATTTATTTTTATCGACTTAGCAAGCAGCAGAGCAGACAATACTTGTGACCTGAAGAGAAGAAGCTGAGTCTGCACAGGCGGGTCCGAGGTACATCACGCCTGTGTCTTGCGGAAGGGGAGAAGAACACTCTAACCTGTTCCAGCTATTTAGTGGTGGAAGATTTTCATAACTCCGTAAATCACTTAAGTCGTAAACGACACCTAAAATCACGAGCTTTCGGGGGGACGATGGAGACAAACGCAGGCACAAGCCGGGGGTGTCCAGGCATCCCGGACAGCTGCGCGCAGCCCCGTCGCAGTCCTGGGCCAGTCTGCGCTCCCAGCCACCAGCGGTGCTTCCCGTCCCCCCGTCACCGGGCCTGGCTGCTGAGGGTCGGGGCGAGGGCCAGCCCGCGGGACAGCGGAGGGGAAGGGCGTAGAATGGAGGGGATGCGGGGGACAGGTGGAAGCGCAGCCAGACGCAGGTGGGGAAGGGACGTTACCTGCCGACACCGAAGGTGGGAAAGTTGGGCGAAGCGGTCGAGGAGGGTGGTCAGCGCACCCCGCCACCTTCCTCGCTTCCCCGGCCCGCTGCGCCCGGGGTTGCTGGCGGCGGCTGCTTCCCTCCCTGCAGGGTGAAGGACCACGTCCTCCCCCCCACCGCCGCCCCCGCTCCGGCCCTACCCCTCCTCCGCCCCTCGCACCGCCTCCCCCGCCGGCGGAGGTGAGCGAGGCGCGGCGCCGACTGCGGCGGCACGGCAGGAGTGGAGTGGAGCGGCGCGGCGAGGACCGTGCGCGGCGCCCGGCGGCATCCACCACCCAGCCTGGCCCACGGGAGAGCCATGGGAGCAGTCACCGCTCCAGCTGCCGCGGAGAAACTCCCTCCGGATGTCGGCTGCCGGTGGCCTGGTCTGAGGAGGGAGGAGGAAGAGGAGGAGGAGGAGGAGGAGGAGGAGGAGGAGGGAGGGAGGGAAGGGGCCGTAGCAGCGGCGGACTGTGCAAGTTGTGCTCTGCCCTTCTTCTCGCCGGCCCGTCTCCCACCCGCGGAGCAGCATGCGGACTGGCCTCCGCGCTCCGTCAGATGTGCTCTGGCTGCCGCCGGTGCTGCCGCCTTCAGTGCATCCTGCTGCTGGCAGCGCTCACCCGGGCGCTGGATGAGACGGGAGCGGGGAGATCGCTGCTGCGGTTCCACCCGCTCCTTCATGCGGGCTTCTGCTCCGGCGGGGCCAGCACCGCCGCCGCCGCCGCCGCGGAGGAGCCGGGCTGCCCTCCCGCCCCGCGCCCGCCCGCCCGGGGGGCCCGCATGGCGTGCTACCTGGTCATCAGCTCCCGGCACCTCAGCAACGGGCACTACCGCGGCATCAAAGGCGTCTTCAGGGGACCGCTCTGCAAGAAGGGCGCTCGCTCGCCGGTAACTGCCACCTCCTCGCTCCCTCCCTCACTTGCCCCCCGCACGGTAGGAGCGGTGCGGGCGGATGCCCACGCGGCGGGGCGGCCGGCGCGGCTGCGGGGGGCGCGGTGCGTGGGCTCCGGCTCGGTCCCGCTCTGCGGGGCGGCCGCGTGGGCGCTGCCTCGCCGGGCGGCTCGGAAAAGTTTCTCCGTCGGCGGCTGCCGGCGTGTGGCCGCGGGGACGGGGCTGGGGGCGGTGCTGGCGCTCCGCGGTGGGGCGGGGGGGCTGCCGCTTAGTTGGGGCTCTCTGTGGACCGCGTCTCGGGCTCGTGCCCACGGAGAGGTTAATTTCTGACGCTTTGCAGGGAAGTTGGAGGCTGGTAGAGGGGAAGGTGCCGTGTCGGCTCCAGGTGTCGCGGTTTAGTACCTTGTCCAAGGTTTTGACGCGGCGGAGGAGGGAAGCGATCATCCTTCTGGTTTCACCTGCAAAAAAACCCGCACTTGTGATTTTGGTTGCGACGTGTTGTGAACTACCTGTCGAGACCGACATCTAGGCAGAACACGCGTGAAGTTTGGGGCGGTCCTGCGGCGACTCCAGACCCGTTGAGCTACTGTAGACGGTCTTCGTGAGTCGCTAAAGGCGTTTAGTAGGGGCAGGCGGTTGTCCTGGGCTGCGTGGGGGGGTCTACACCGAGCCCCCGCCGCCGGGACGAGGGGCAGCGGGGTGCCAGGGGAGCCACCGAGCGGAGGGCGCCCGGATACCGCTGGAGCCGCGCTGCCTTTCCTCCGCCTCTCCGCGGTGGCATTGGTATCGCAACCGCGTCCGTAGTCTCGACTGTACTTTCCCTGTCACTGTGCCCGGTCTCAGTATGTGACCTGCGGAGGGGAACGGACCTGCCTCCCACCCGTACCGGCACCAGTACCGAGGGCACCTTGAAACCACGGTGGGACTTCGGGAGTGCCGTGTTATGCCCCGTAGCACACCTACACTCTAAAAACCTTTAGGAAACGAAAGTCTCTGCTTTCTGTTTCTTGACTTTCAATGACAGAAGGTGACAAATACTTCATTACACTTTCAAAATCCCTTCTGCGTTGTGCATCAGCACTCGGATACAGCACCTGCAGGTTCTTCCCTTGTGCTGCTGTATCTGTCGTGTGCAATATAATACAACTGTGCTGCAGGTATCATCGATCAGACAGTGGCTACGCTGGGTTTGTGTTCTCTGACCCGTGGGGCTGATCCACTTTGGTGTGTGGAACCTCCCGAAATGCAGGAGACAGTAACTGTACAAAATTGGATCCAAAGGAAATAATGTTAAAAATCTAAAATGGGAACAGTCTTAATTGTAAATACTTTTTATTTAGTAGAACTTTAACAACTGATGTTTAAGTAAAGTAGTGTCAGAAGTAAGAGAATATATTACCCTCCAAATAGCATTATGCTCCAAATCCTTCACTTTCCAGTTTCTTTCCCTTTCTTTCTACCTACCTACATAGGAGTACGCACACCACTCCTCTCAGTCTAAATACTTAATGAAATAAAATTGTCTGATTTCATTAGTGAACCATCATTTTAAACATAGTTCTGTTACCAGATGGGAGTAATTTTTGTTCATATGGAAGTAACAGAGAAGAAGACCAAAAAAATTATATTAATATTTTCTATCACTTATCGATGCATTTTTTAAAAGGGTTTTGCTTTACATTGAAGCATCTTAGTTCTAAGCCAACTATCTAGGGTTTAGTGGAAAAGGAAAAAAATTACAAAGTTGAAAATAAACCTCTTTCACTATATAGAAATGTTCTTCCATATGAACTTTCCAGAGTTGGAAAAAAGTAGCAAAAGCACTTTGTGTTGCTTTTCACTAAGACAGAACCACTTGTTTCTGAGATTCATATGACCAGGAGTTGGTATGCTTTATATGTTTTGGGACCATTTCTATATAAAGGACTGAATTTTAGCAATCCTTAGCTTTCATTCTAAATTCTTGAGGGAAACCTTTCATTTCTCTACACACATTTCTTTTTCCTTTCTCCCCCCCCTTTTTTTTAAATTTATTTTTGCCTTTTTTAGTGGCTACTCTTTGCAGCTAGTCAGGCTTTTGAGGTCATAGACTGAGTCCTGTGGAGAGGGAGTATTGGGCAGCTTGTGGGAGTAAAGGTGCACAATAATGTTTTACTAATGCGGGGTAATTGTAGCTCTATAACTCTTTTATGTGTTTGATATTTAGGATTTACTACTGGTTTATATATGCTATTTTTCTATTTTGACACAGAAGTCCAGACTTTAGGAGATAAATAAGGGATGCTTAGTTGACAAAGAAGGTAATAATTTGCTATTAAATACTGAAAGCAGTGACTAATCTGTACATACCTACAACTTTATAACTTTCCAAATGATATCCTTCTTGCCTGTCAGTGTGCATAAAGTTGGGAACAGTGAACAGCAGACAACACCACCTTGATACATTTTTGCATTATGGATGTGGGAGTCATGCATATTGAGATTTAGTATTGACTGAGGTATTAATCTTGTTTTGAGCATGAAAAGTGCCCCATACAATGCAAACAAACCCTCCAACTCTTCAGTTAAACTTGGGACCACTTCTTATGCATCAGAGGGAAGTCTTGAGCAAGTGGCCTTTACCTGTGTGCCCTGTGCTGTGCTTTTATTTAATACCTCCCGATTATAACTTTGAAAGATACAAGTTACATCTTGCAGTCTTTTTTCAAATGCTGAATTGGAAGCAACCTTGAAGATTCAATTTTATAGTTTGTATCATTAAAAAATCTTATATTTTTACACTATAAGTGATCTTATGCATGAGCCTACAAAGTCTTTAATGGATAACATGTACCTTTCTATATTTAAAGTGTTCTGTATTAACAGACCATGAAATGTCAGTAGACTTAAGGCTATGCTTTAAGAAATGAGAACAGTGGTGAATATTTTAAATACCTTTATCAAATTTCATGGTTATACGAACAAGGATTTTTTCAGTCTGGGTGTTTGCGTAGTAGTTATTTAGCATACTTCATTGTTACTGTGCCAGAAACAATTCTGGTCCTTTTTCCTGGTATGCAAAGAGACCTTTAGCTGCAGCAGTACTAAGGAGAACAAGGTGTGGACTACAAAGGTAATACACTTTGTGCATGTCATTGTGTAGCGACATGGTCATAAAATCTTTTAAAAATTCTACCTTTCCTTTGCCCACTTTCACACATCAGAAGAGGGACTTTAGCTATGAATATAGTGAAGCTGGCCTCTGAAGTTGTGGTAATGAATTCAGAAAGAGTGGAATTAGAAACAGTGAATCCTGTATCAGTGCAGTTGTGATGGAGTTGCACAGGGAAGGAAATGCTGAGTTTGAACATGATGCCAGCATTACTAAGAATAATGGACAGTAAGCCAAAGAAGGAAGCTGCTTACTTTAGAGACTTAATTCTGTGCTTTAAGCTTTTATATTTTATTTGAAAAGTTATATTAATGAACATATGAGCAAATTTTCTGTCTCTGAAAATTTCTATTTAAGGAAATGAATTATGATACAGAGGTATTACTTACACCTCAGACTGATGATATTGTCTACAAGATTTCTGAGTCCTAAATAGATTACGCTTATTGGTGTACTGATTTTACTTTTTGCAGTCATGGTAGGTCTGCTGTAATATACACCTGCAGCCCAACCTACTTTAGAGGTTTACTGCCGCACTTCACAAGCCTAGCGAAGCTGACACGGAAAAGGACTCTGCTGTGAAACTTTCAAAGAAACTCTTCCAGGATACAGCAGAAAATGGTTCTGGGAATTCAGCAGATGGCCCCCTTGCTTCTGAATAATTTCTGAGCAAAAGATATTATTAGGGTGCACTGTTCTGCTTGTGGCTTTTTAAGATAAGATATAAACAAAGTCTTGTTTACTACTCAGTATTTAAAGATCCCTTTGTATTTTGAGGGAAATAGGAAGCTCAAAAGACCCAGTGCCTTAGCCAATTTCTGAGTTGGCTAATTATTTTTCCTTCATTGTTCTCTGCAGCTTCAGCTGAATACAGTATTTTTCACGTACTTCTCTAAGCTGTTTTCTAATAAGGCTGTCAAGCTGCTCTGTTGCACTTAGTGCTTGCCTAAGTTCTTTGGGATGTGGGATGTGGGAAAGGCTTCTTGTCTGTTACAAAGAGCTACCTTTTAAAAAGCACAGCTCTCACCCTATGTCCAGAGGCTCCAGTAGTTCTAATTAAGTAGAGGTACTTGGAAATAATGACTGTTTAGTTGATACTGAGCCACAAGCAAGCTGTTTCAGCACTAATGCAAATATAACCAGGGCTGAGTAGCACCTTAGCCCTCTCTGTAGCAGATAACAACAGTAGGCATGTGAAAACTTCTTTGAAAACTTAAGTGAGCCTGAGGACTGAACGACTCTAAATAGAGAACAAGAGGGGCACGGCATGGGCAGCTCTTTCCATCTGTCTCAGCTTAGTTGAGAAACACCAGCACAATCAAGTCTGCCACAAAGAATGGCAGTGTTGTGTTTGCCACCAGAGAGAAGAGATATGTGCCAAGCACACTTGTCAGAAAGCAATTTAAAGGCTAGACATCCTGGATGTGTACCATGTGAAATATGGTCTAGGTGGCAGCAGGTTAAAAGGAACATCCACCTATATCTGCAGTTAGCTGGAAGACCAAATAATTTGTAGGTTTCTGATTATAAACAAGTCATCCTTCAGTACTGTGACTGTACCCTCAACAGCACTGAAAGCAGAGAGGAAGGGTATGCTCTAGGCGTTATGTAGGGAAATGCATGAAATGTAAAATTTAAGCTAAGAAATATAGTGTAAAGGGACTGATAATGGGCCAGCAGCTCTAATAAATAGTCCTTCTACAAATGGAAAGAGGGGAAAAAATTCCCAACTGTGCTAACAAAATCTTGTAGAAAGAAAAAAGGGAAAAGTAGTAAAGAAAATGGTACTTCACTTTTCTGTGCCAAAAAGTCTCTGGCAGCTGCCTCCAGCAGAAGTGGCTGCCTGCCAGGGGGATCCTGTACGCTCTTCTGAAAGCGTGGAGCTGGCTTA